ATTGAACGAAATAAATCCTAGTTTCGGCAGAGTTCTAAATAATCGGTTCTCGTATGGGCGAAAATTTTTGATGGGAATAATGTGATTATTAAAATTAAGTGATTATATAACCACTTCGAATAATAAAATATTAATAAGCAAATATACAATTAACCAATCAAATGTTTAATTTTCATGATCGTTTCATAAGCAATTTATAACTCAGAAGACAATCAACCAATTATACGTTCATAAATTTAAATGATTGGATTAAATTTTATAAATTATTATTAAATAATCACCAAAATCAAAAGACCGCTATTGCTATTTAGATCACAACCAAAATTAGCCCCTGATGCTATAATGGCAACTTATCTCCCATCCGATTGTCTCTCAAACATCTTTTCGTATCTTGATAATGATGCAAGTTCATTATATTCTTCCCTTTTAGTAAATAGAACTTGGTGCTTAAATGTTGTTCCTGTATTGTGGAGAAGAACTTTCTATATGACTTCTCATAGTAATTTTTCGCCAAAAAAGAGAGGTCAATTGGTTGCGACATATATAACTTGCATGGCCGTTAACGAGATTTCGAGCCAAATATTGAACGAAATAAATCCTAACGTTACACCTATATCATCAACTGTTGTCGAAAAAGTTCCAACACCAACTTTTGATTATGCTGAATTTTTACGTGGTTTTGATTATTACGACGTGTATCAAGCGATTGGAATCTGGTATGCATATCAAACTTGCGATAAAAAACAATTAATGAAGTTTGATAGATTCTCAAAGAACGTAGGTGATAGTGAATATTGTAAACTTATACTTACTCGGGAACTTGTTAAGTACATTGTCAGTCGTTCTCCAACAATTGATTATCTAGCTTTGGATGCTGAACGAAAAATTCCACTTGATTATTGGTCATTTTCTCGTTTTCCTGGTGCTAGAAATTGCCTATCCTATTTACGAACATTTGTATGTCGTGGAAGTTCAAATAAGCTAGATGTTTATACTTCACTTGCACAATGGTGTAATAGCATTGAATCAATGACACTTTATGAAATTGGTGATGATGATCCTAAAGCTGAAGCGTTATCAAGTTTAATCCAAGGTCAGCGTAGGCTTTGTAAATTTATTCTATGGGGTGGAACAAGTAATCAATTACCTCAAATCATTCATGCTTTGACTTTCCATGGTTTCGGACTTAAATATCTGGAATTTCGATTTTGTAATTTTGAACAATGCCAACAACCTCTTGACACCATTGCAATGTCATGTACTGAGATAACTACTCTTAAATTTATTCAATGTGGTGATCTTCAAAGTAATATTACTCCAAATTTGTTGAATCCAATATTTCCTGATCTCGAGGTCTTGGATTTACAAGGAACACAAATTCCATCTGAAGCTTTAGAGACAATTTTCAAATGTGCAAATATTGATCTACGAAAAATTAATATAGAAAAAACGGAAAGTCGACATTCTCGAATAATAGAAAGTATAGCGAATAATTGCACGAACGTTACAAAGATCAAAGCACGGTTGACAAAAGATAAAATGACACAACTTTCTAAACTATTTCAATCATGTATTAACCTCGAAAGTTTAACCTTATACGGTCCATTACCCGATCGATTATACATTTTTACTCAAGATGCAAGTGATGATCTATTGGTTAATCTTCGTGAAATAGTTCCTGCTACATTAAAAGAATTAGCGTTAAAAACTGATTGTGCCTTTACCGCATCAGCTATAGAAATATTTCTTAGAGATTGCCATGCAGATTTAAATAGATTAGAATTTATTTCTTATGGAAGTGTATGGCAACATTTAAATGTTATTAAGAAATATGCAAAAAGGCGAGGATTGAAAATAAAAGAACAAGTTGCAGGAAATTATAGTGAATTATTGATGAGAGAATTAGGTCATATTATTGTAGAATTTGAGAATTTGGAATAAATAAGTTTTTAGTTTATATAAGTGTAAGCTTCAATTATGAAGTTTATATGGGCATAATTTATAAATTTAAGCCCAAAGATAGAAATTATTTGAATCCTAAAATTTATTCTGATGTAATAATTTATTAGTAGACTATATATAGTAACTAAACAGCAATGATTAGGATTACAATTATTCGAAGAAATATCAAAATTTAATTCATAATACTCAGTTAAGTATATACGAAATATTTTCTTAGTTTTTGAACATCATTTTAAAATTGTAGCCAATATATAACCTCACCGATCATCTTTATATAGTTCTTGAATTGAAGGAAAAAGATTAGTTTTCTTTCTTCTTTGAAGATTCGTTTAGAAAACTTTATTGGAATGCTAAAAATTAATTTATGTGTAATTAGCAAATATATAATAGTTGTATATAATTTAACCACATCAAGGGTCGACCATAACTCGGCCAGTTGTTTAAATAGTTTGATTAAATATATGTAATATACGTTCAATATATATATACTAATTCTATTTGACCAATATCAAACTCTTGAATCAAACTGGCCGAATTGGTTTGATCAAAATTAATGTTGATCGGTCTGTACCAATACTATGTATATATTCAAATTAATGTCGGCAGCACTAAAACAATAAAGTTGTTGTCTATATTTAAATTTTTATTTATGTGTTTCTTTTTTTATTGTTTTATTTAGAAATTTGTAATATATATTACTAAATACGCACTAAAAGCTCATATGCCAATCTGGTATTAAAAAAGATTTACATGTATTATATAAGTTAAAACTAAGCAAAATTGTATTTAAAACAAGGTTCGCGTTGGCAAGGTTGCAGATGCAGGGAGTATAGTAATGGTTAAGCAGGAGAGTTTAGTAGAGTTAGAGATTAAGTGATAAGTGGTAAAAAATATATTTATTGTGGCGGATCATAATGAAATCCAGATCAAAATGAAATTATAATATAAAATCTCGAAAAATAAAATTTTTTGGGGTGCATTTTTTAGGGATAGGGGTTAGGGTTAGGGTTAGTTTTAAAGTAAAGTTATAATAAACAAGTATAAGTGGGTTTTAGAAGGTTAACAGGTTGAGTAGAAAATGTAGATTTCATTTTAAATTATGATCCGCGACATTTATTAATAGTTTGTACGTTGTAGTTATGTGCATTGTAATCTACTTATTATATAAAAGTTAAATTATCCAATGCGATAATTTAATTATAATATATATTTAAACATAAGAGTTAATAATTTTGTAACCACGGTTACTGTAACTGTAATTAAAATCAGGTGTAATGTGAAATCATAAAAACTTTTTTTTTAAAAAAAACTATAAATATCAAAATTTTGATTATATAAACCCATTTTTTACATTTTAACAAAAAAAACTTCTTTTTAAATTTTGATATAACTCAAGCTTTTCTTAATCCAAGCCTTATTCTAACTCTAAACTTAATTATGAAGTTTTGTTTTTATAAAAAAAAATTGTTTTGATAGTTACAGTAAGACCTCTCTAAGTGCACCCCCTCGGGACCATAGTCAAATAAAGCAAAACATGCATTTAAAGAGGAAGTGCATTTATAGAGAGCAAAATATATAATGCTTTTATAAGTTGGGATCAAGTTATAGCGTGCATTTAGAGAGAATTTACATAGTGCGTGCATTTATAGAGCATGCACTTAGAGAGGTCTTACTGTATTTACACCTGATCTTAGTTATAGTTATAGTAATCTATAGTTACAAATTTATTAAATTTTTTTTTTTTTAATATTGCCAAATACTAGGGTTGTTAATGGAATGTTCCAGTCAATAATAAAACATATGGGCTACCATCAATAAAAATCAAGCAGATTTACATTTGAAAAAAATATTAATACCTTCAACTTCACAGCTCATATCTCGATGAAATTTAAAGATATCTTGATGATTTAAGATTCAAAAGAAAGCTTAGATCGTAAGCTTTCTTTTAAATATTAAATCATCAAGATACCTTTAAAATTTATTGAGTTATGAGCTATGAAATTTAAGGTATTAATATTTTTTTCAAATGTAGATCTCCTTGATTTCTATTGACGGCAGCTCATATAACCCACTCCGGAGCGCTTCAGAAGCAGGTTATATGTTTTATTATAGTCTAAAGTACTTCATTAACAACCCTACCAAATACCAATTATAACAAATCTTTTATTAGGTTATTAGATAGTACATTTTTGGTTAGTGAGAATATGTTAATTATATATACAACTTTGATTGCTTATTTGAATAGTTTGCCTAAAGGTTGTTATTAACTATCATATCTATAATCTAATTACAGTCAGACCTCTCTATAGTCACCTCCTCTATAGTCACATTTACTTATAATCACATAAATTTTTAAAACCAACTTATATAGCACTTATAAAATTTAACCTCTATATAAGCACAAACTCTCTATAAGCACCAAATTCTTAAAACCAAGGGTGTGATTATAGAGAGGTTCGACTGTAATAAATTATTTATTTAAAATTGCTAGTATCTTTTATTCTATACCACCTTTACAATTAATCTGTAACACCTTGTGCTGCTATTTATAAAGACCAATTTATTAATTTTTAAAATTATTATTTTATTAAAAGTTTGTTAAATTTGACAGATTGTAATATTATATATTAATATATATTTTAAAAAAATTAAAATTATTATTAGTTAGCAATATATTTAAATAAATCGGCCAACTCTTCCTAATGATTACTTGTACCAACCTAACACCAAAAGCAAGTTGAAGACTCAAGTCTAGAAGTCAATAACAACTTGAAGTTTTCTCGATATGAACTGTTGTCAACGAAGTCTTTAAACATAATACACTGAGGAGCAGGTGTTTTGGATGGTTTGCAAAGGGGTCAAGCCTTGTTTTCTGTACTTCTTGGGTGGACTCCTCTTTGCGTTTGGCATTCAAACTGGAGAAGTCTCTAGGAACAGCAAATAAAAAAGAAAACTAAAGTTTGTTTGAAGATGGAAGATTTTGAAGAACTCTTAGAACAACACTCCTTGGTTAGAAAACTTGCAGAAACTTGATATTTCTTTGCTGTCTTTTGGCTTCAAAATTTTCGACAAAAAGTGGGAAATTCAGCTTACCTCCTCCAAAAGATCGGCATTGTTTACCACTTCCATATCAGGAAACTAGATGATAACAAATCGGCATATATTACGAAATGAATGAAATGATAACAAGTTACGTAGAGTTTTTAAAGTCCTTATACTTTCGGATGAAGATATGGATTTAATTAGAAGAAGTTAAGTAAAGTATTTTGAGATATACAACATGTCTCTTGTATATAATTTTTAGCCTCTGGCACGAGTTATAGTGCATTTTGTTTTAGTTTTATATTTTCATTTTTGTCAAGACTCTCGCACTTAATAGTAAATCATTACTCTATATAATTAGAAGTTTTTACCTGGTAAGCAGGTTTTCTTCTTTTTAGCGATAGTTTCTTTTAGATTTTTAGTTTAGTTTTTTATATTCTTTAGTATTAGTATTTGTTTTCTTTGATATATTTGTTTTTCTTATATACACTTTTTTTCATTCCCTATTATTTTTTTTTTCTTTTTTTCTTCTCTATGAGAAAGTGTTATCAGTTTGGCAGCATTCTATTGTAGAGCGAAAATCTTGACAGAGCAAGCAACAGCCAGCCAAGGAATCTGAGGAAAATAAGTTCAGAGTGAGTTTTGGATCTCTAAAAGAGGCTAAGTGTTGCTAGGCAGGTTGTATCTGGGCAAAACACAGCGGTTTAATGGTTCGCCCTGACTGCAAGTAGATGTTTTGGCATCTGTGAAGTACGCTGTGAGTAAGTTTACTTTTTGATTAGAACACTATAGATTTAGATTTCTTTGTATACTGATGTAGGAATGAAAGTCTGTTCTCATAATAGAGTAAACAGGATTGCTGAAGAAAAAAAAATTATTATTAGTTAGAATTTGAATTCAAGCTAGTATTAGAATTAAAATTAAAAGCATATATATACAAAAGATTAGTTTATATAATAAAATTTTTAAATATTTAAATTTTTAATTTTTTTTAATTTTTGTTCCTTTTTATTATACAAGATTTTGTAATCTAATTGATCAATTATATTAATCTGTGATATAGAAACTTGTAATATTTAAAAATATTTTATTAAAAATATTTTATTTATTAATATTTTTTTGAAACTTTGGCTAATCATATCATAAATCTATATTTATTAAAGCTTTGTCACTATTAAAGACAATATAGTAATAAAATCTGTAGTCTGACATCATGTAATTACTGCAATGTGACTAAGTCATCTGAGTGTTTATATATTAGCAAATTTATAGATGTAAAAAATTATAAAAAAATTTGCATTACAAAAAAATTTCAAAAATATATGCAATAAATTTTGAAATATTTTGAAAAATAATATTTTCAAAAAAATTTCAAAATATATTTCACAATATTTTATTTAATGGATAGCATTTCACCATTTGTACTACCCGTAGTACACCTTTATAAAATCCATAACACATCCAAAAGCCAACA